AGCCTTTTACTATTGCCTCATACTTCAGTACTATTATGTATATTTGAATAATTTACTTTTATGAATGAATAAGTTACTGAGGACTGGTTCATGGCAAAAACTAGGCTTAGCAACAGGACAGCTTCTGAGCATAACGTGCTCAGGTGATGGGAATTTAACATTTGAGTTCATCTCGGTTAAGTAGGTCAATTGTTTGTCAGGTTTGTTCGTTTTTGTATGTAATTTTGCTTTTCAAACAGATAAAGTAAAGTTAAAAAAATAAAAGAAATATATATATATGGTTATTTCTAACAAGATTCATCAAATCAACAAATATAGATTTTTACTGTGTTTATAGTTAACACAAAATATTGTGAATAAAAACATTTGTATATTTTACATAAACTACATGAAATTTTGGAATTTCAGATGTAATTGCAGGTGAAGTTTGAAGAAAATATACACTTGTCATGCCTTTTTTATCTTTTGTTATGTAAAGATGAATCATTCTAAGAAAGTAATTATAAAATATAAATTCTTTGTTTTCTTTATTTCTCGTATTTCAGAGGCTTTTTTTGTAGTATGTCAGTGCAATTTTAAAATGGTTATTCAGAGTTATTTAAAACCCCATAAATATTCCAGATGAAAGTAAACTCATTTCATGCATTACAGAACATGAAACAAAAATAAAATAAAGCCATATTTATGAAAATACTTCTTAAACCTTTCGAGATGGATCACGGGTGAAAGGCCATGTCATCTCATTTGTTGATTCGCATTCAAAATTTTATTGAACTACTATTTCATGAATTTATGTCAGTAAGTTTGGTATCAAACTGTAGATTATAATTCAGATTTTTGTACTATATATTATTCAATTTCTTAATTTAAAACCAAATATTAAAAAACACAGATAAACATCGATTTTTGTGTGTCACGTGGTATGTTTAATGCAGCACTGGTTCAAATTAAATGTTTGTGAAGTCAAAATACTAAGTCTGTGGACTCGTATGATTTAAAAACTCAAGCAACTGATATTGACAAGCTAGAATATAAAATACGAGCCTCTTATGTTTTCAATTTGCTAAGATATTGTTCATGTAATAAATCAAATACAGTGGCACCCCACTCACCTCTTTCCATTTTTGGAAATGCTCCTTTATATACACTTACTTCTATATATGGCATGAATAACCAATTGGAAGCTCAGAATGTCCCACTAGCAGCTTTCTCAGCCAATTTAATGGGCTTGGCACCATTTCTTTCTTTTGAACCAATATTTCAATGAGGAAGGGTGTCTTTAGTCTGCTCAAAATTTCATATTATTTAGACTAAAATACATCTTAGTTGCTAAACTTGATAAATTATAGTAGAATTATATGGTATTAATGTAGTAATGGTATTAATGTATTCAAAATATATATATAAAACCTAAAAAAAATATTTTATTTCATATACTCCATGTGCACATTTTTTAAAGGCTTGGCAACCTATGTCAAGCAGCAACTGAGTACAAAGGTCATAACTAGAAGATATAATTGTTTGCTTTACTTCCATAATACAAGTTTTTATAATTATCATGTATATGTATAGTTCTAGGTATGTGTATGGCATAATACAAGTTTTTATAATTATCCCCATACACTTACCTAGAACCATACATATACATGATAATTATAAAAACTTGTATTATGCACTAAAATGATTTTAACAAAAAAATAATTAGTTCTTTCAAATAATAGAAAACATTTTCTAATTTTAGTTATGAATAAAAACTTCTGATCAAAAGCAAGTCAACTATACAGATTAGGGCTAAAATTATTACAAGGTAATTTATACATTAGTAAAACTCAGCATAGCACACTGACTAAAAACACTGAGTGTAATAAATTAAGACATCAGAAAAGTAATAGTGGATGTAATCACAGATTATATTGAAAGTTGGTTTGGTCTCAACCAACCATTTGGTTATTTAGATAACCGATTATTAATCAATTATAACAAAGTGAAAAAACAAAACAACAACATAACCTTTACAATGTATTCAATTTGAAAGTATTTTTTCTGCATCAGAAACTAATCTACACACTCCAAATGTGTGTTATTTTTAATCAAGTCCATTTTTAATACCCGTTTACAGTCTCACTGATGTGCAAGTCATCTATTACAGTAGCTTCTAATTTTTAAAGTAATCAAGTAATCCCACAGTGTGAAATCAAATCAACTAATAAGCACAAAACTATACAAGATGTTGTAGTATAAACTTTCAAGAGAAATTTACAACCCTGCTGCTGGATACTCATGTTTATATGGTGGGTTATAAATCATTTAAACTTTAACCAAGTGCAAAACATTTAGAAATTTTCTGCACCACTAAACCACAGTACATCAGAAAAATTGTAAAAAGAATAGCAAAATAATCTTATGCCAAAAATAAATTAAATACATTAATCACAAAATGAAAGGAAAACAAAAATTATTGAGAGAAATATTAAGAACAATATTTTTTTCACTGCTTCCTATTCTATAATTGTTGTCATGAGGCAAAACTACCAGATGATTGATCTGTAATGAGTAGAGCTGGACAATTTAATCAGTTACCTGTGAACAGGAATTACAATAATTACACTGGTTGACAAAATTGAACTGATTTCTCTCATCAAAGATGTAAACACCAGTTTCGTACGCTTATTTCAAAATCTGTTTTTGTTTTTTTTTCCAGCAAATCTAGTTATCGAAATATGACTGGTGATAATTTCAGTACAATTTAGGTAATAATCACACATTAGGCTAGTTAACGTTACAGCTTTATTCATTTTTCAGTATAATTCCCATAAACGTTATACACAACATACAGTTGGTTAAACTTATATAGTACACACTTATGTAAAAAGAAATGTACAACAACTTAAATTATAATTAAGGCAACAACCTTTCATATTTGATCGGTTTCATCACTAAAACTTGACATGCTAGAAGAAAACCAAAGAGATTTGGAATCAGCATCCCAAGTGCTATCTAGCCCACCTATAGTTATATCTGATGAAAATGACTTGTTGGCCCGTGTTATTGTCAAGTAAACTAAGTGATTAATTGAAATTATGATTAAGTATATTAATCAAAACTAGGATTCCCACTTATTACATTTTTTCCTTATTACAATTATCCAAATAGAAAAACAACTATTATGTTTGTTGTTAAGCACAAAGCTATATAATGGGCTACTATGTTCTACCCAATTTTAGCCTTTTTTCTTTTTCTTCAAGTTTGTTCAGTTTCGGCGTTTCGAGGATCTTGGGTTTGAATCCTATTGCTATCAAATTTGCTTGCACTGTCTTTGTTATGGCAAAGTTACTAAGGTTATCTACCAGTGTCACTAATTTTGAGCTGCTGACTAGAAAGAAAGCAACTGGCTGGAAGCACCCACCATCAACTTCGTTTTACACGTGCGTACCAAGGTTTAAGTAACACTATACTAATCAATTAATTGAATGTAATTAATCAATGGGGATATCAATTAATTGATTAGCAAATACTAATAATTGCCTAACTCTAATAACAAGTGCCACAAATGTTGAAAAACATACATATGATGTTGTGGAATAGAGTACATTTTTACAAAAGGATTTTTGGCATATAGAATTATCTAATAAAAATAAAACACAAGTATTTGCTTATATTATTATTTTAATCACCTTTTATTGCATTATTTAAAAAAAAAACTGTATCTTGACTTTGGTACATTAATTTATGAATAAAAGCTGTTGTAATGGTTGATGTTTATTAAGATCATTTATAGTAAATAGCTGGTGGGATAGCATTTTTAGTTATGATAACACAATCTACTGATTTTATAATTATTCAGCTGCTGTAAATACCCTCAATTATAATAAAAAAAGTAGAAAATTTAACATTTAAAATCTGAGTTATTGCATAACTTTGCCAAGACTATGCAGACTTGTTTTTCTCAAAGGGATGTGCCAGTTACCAAGCTGTCACACAAAGTCAACAATGACACAGACCATTAACTAAATGTGCACAGAGTTGGTCTAATGGACCCACTCCATACTGGATAAATAATTTTGTCTATAATTCTGAATTTAAGAAGTGCATCTTCATGAAATGTGGCAAGCTTTTAGTCAATAGCACAAGTCTGTTGTACACAAATCTCAGATGTGTTACTCAAATTTTTGCACTAAAGATATGCGTGTGAAATGTTGAAGTCAGTCTGAGTCAGGCTTTAATAAGTCAGAGTGCAAGGTGACATTCGTGTGAAGAATAAAAATTTTTTTTTCCATCGTACAATTCCAAAATTGCATTTGTGTAACTTATACAACCTCCTAAATACATATCTAAAGTATTTTCAATATCCTATTTACTGTATCTGATATTTTTTTTACTCTAACACAAACTGCTTTAAAATCAGCAATGTAGGGTATCATCAAATGTTTGTAACTCTGACATCAAATGCACAATACCATTTCAAATGGCACCCTGTACAAGGTTGCAGTGTGCACATTTTGACCCCATCTGTGTACATAGGGTAAACTGAGAAGGCTATCAAAGAAAACATCATTTTTTTTGGGGGGGGGGGAATTGGATTAAGACCCAAAAACAATATAAAGCTAGACATTTAAATGAGTATAGCTGCACCTCATGTTAGGTTGTAGTAGTATTCACTGTTATTCTTTCATTACAAATAAAACTATATAAATTCAAGTGTATTAAGTGTTGAAATTTTTCTGAGGACTTTTCTGAAAAAGTTAAGAGTACCTTTTAAAAATCTTTGGTGAGATATTACAGAAGCTCTCCAAGTAAGCAATGTATTAATCTAAAGGTACATTACTTATCAGTCAAAACAAGTAAACACAAAAAATAACCGCCATTATGACTAGTTATGTAATCAATGGCCACTAGGCCATACCCTCACATTCATGAGTTGTCTACAAGCAGACAGCACATATAGTTGTGCCAAAACAAGTAATATTAGCTTTAGTGCTGTGAGTTCAGTGCGTACATACCTGAAGCTGAACAAGTCTGTTTGAGTTATGTTAAAACTATTAAAGCTATATGGTACTATCTCTAATTTGGAACTACCAACTAGAGGGAAGGCAACTGGCCAACAGCATTCATTGCCAACTCTTGAGCTAATCTTTACAAAAAAAAAAGGACTTAGTCACATTATAACACCCCCTGACTGGCATAGCCCAGTATTAAGATGGTTGCCTCGTGAATTGAGGGTTGTAGATTCAACACACAATTCCACCAGACATGTTTGCCTTTTCAGCTATAGAGCCATTTGAATGTCATGGTCAATCCTACTATTTTTTTTGGTAAAATAGTAGCCCAAGAGTTGGCAGTGGGTGCTGCTGGTTAGTTGCCTTCACTCTGGTTCACAGTTCAAAATTAGGGACAGTGGTAGATAGTCTTAGCAGTTTTGCTACAAATCAAAAACAAAATAACAATTATAGCACCTGCACAGCTAAAAGAAAAAGCTTGGATGGTAGAAACTGGACTTGAATCCACGACCCTCAAATAATAGGGCAACCATCCTAATCATTGAGCTATGCCTGTCCAAATTTGAATAAACATAAATTAATCAAATAATAATAATAATAATGAGAAATTATAAAGGTGCTATTTCAATTACTTGTTTATTTTCATGAGCTTTGATATTAATTCATTAAGCTGAATAAACTTTAATTGAAAATAGTAATGATAAGTCATAAAGGCAATATCTCAATTACTTGGATAGTTTCCTGACATCAATAAATTTAATCATGATTTTGATTAATAAGATATTATAAGACTTGCAGATAAACTACTACAGCCACTATTTAGAAGTCATAGAATCATCAGATTAAGTAGCATCGAGAGATCAACTCCCTCTGATGACAGTCTAGAAGAACTGAAAGGTTAGTAATACTACTAGTTACAGAGAATGGAGGAAATAAACCACAAGATAATAGACATTTCAAGTGTAGCTTCAAAGAACATTGCCTGTATGTAAGAGCTCTTCCCAAAGAATACTAAAAGAAGTAACTATTATGAATGTGGGAAACCTGGCTATTACAGCCAAAACTGTTTGGAATCAACAGCTATTAAATCATCAAGAAGACAATACCCTAATGATAAGTCTTTGAGCTCAACCAAAACAAAGGAACAACAAAGGCCTAACCAGAGATCACAAAAACAGAAATTTTCTGGATTTTATTTGTTGGAATTCAACTAAGAATACTCCATCTGCCCCAAATGTGATAAAAAGTTCATTATTTGAGGAAAACCATCCATAAGTCAATGTTCATTGGTGAAAAGCTCTGCAGTATGTTGATTAAAAATGGTGCTATAGCTACAATAATTAACTTAATTTGGTAATAAAAGGTGGGAAATTGCATCTGGCAACCAAGAAAAAAAAGAGGGATTGATGCAAACAGCAGATGGACATAAAGTTCCAGCAAGAAGAAAGTTAGAAGATACCCTTAAAACAAGAAGCTTCTCTACACCTCATGATGTGTGGGCAGCTGATACTGATGAAAAGTACATATTGGGAAATAATGTCAGGAGAAGAAATGGGCATAATGTTAGGCTAGCATCAAATAGCTTCATAGTCTATCATCAGGAAATTCCTGTGCACTACATGGCAATTACAACATCAGAGGTTGGACCTCCAGTGACAACAGGGAAGATGATCATTATATCACCAAGAAATGAAATACTCTTACCAGGAGTTATTAGGAATAAACCTACTTTTAGTGGCTGGGTCATAGTGGTGCCAAATATTTCAGCATGTCCTGAGCAATTCATGGTTGGAAGAGAGTTCATGAATCTGGAGAATAGAGATGTCATACCTGACTTTACTTAAGAAAGACTTAAATCACTTTGTGCTAAAATGAAAATTGATGTTAATGCTGATAAAACTAGATTTCGTTGAAGTATCACGGTATGGCTGAACAATTCTCTCTCTGCAAGAAAGGACAAACTCTAAAGTTAAACAGGAGTTGGGAAAGGCCATGTGTTGTATTCAAAAGAATCAGAGATGTGGTTTACAGAAGGATGGAGATTCCAATCCAAAGGTTACCCATCACGAGTCTTTGGAAGTATATCAGTGAGGGAACAGCAAACTACATAAATTTCAAAGAATTTGCTTGCATAAAGCCAACCTGATGAAGAATCTAGAGTTCCTGTCAAGATCACTTCCAGAGGATCACCAAGGATAGAACAGCCAGTGCAGTGGATTCACTTGACCACCAGTCTTGGGGGAATTCCCCCAGTGATAGAACAATAAGTGAATGGATAGTCTAGTGCACTGTCTTATTTATGTATTAGAATTATTCAAGGGACTTCACACTCAGGAAATGATATGTTGTAAGGCACTCAACCAAACCATTGGACTGGGGATGATAAAGTGAAGTACGAGTTTTCAACACCCAGTACTTTATAGAACTAGGCAAAGACCCGACCATTAAAGTTTGATCCTTAACTTTATTGCTACAGGTAGGTAAAAATTTGCATATTATAAGATTTTACAGTCATGTTTAAAGTTCAATCAAACTACTTTATTCTCAATGTATGTGAATAAATTTGGCATCAAAGCATAGTTCATAAATCCAATTTTAATATTATATAAGTATTAATTCCTTAACACTTTCTACATAGGCTCTGTCAATTTGACTGACCTCCTAACCACAAAGTAATCATTAAAGTTTCCATACCATAATTTTTAATAACTCTTGGGTATCTTCATGAAATTTTGCAAACTTTCAGTAAAAATTACAAGTTTTTGTACACAAAAAATCATATTTTTCGATTAAGTACTTTCACTAAAGATTTTTCTGTTAATATATGGAGTCAGAGTGTTGACTGCTCAGAGTGCAAAGTGATCTTCATGTTAATATTAATAATGCTTTTCTTCACCTGAAATTTTCCAAATTTCATTTGCATAGCTTCTAAAACCTCATAAATAAATATCAAACTTTTTCAGTAAACTATATATTTTATCTGTTATTTTCTCTATCCTAACTCTATGTGATTTTGGTTGATTTGACCAACCTTATAATCACCATAAAAAATATGAAATAAATCTAAATTGCTCTTTTTTTTTTTTTCTTTTTAGAATGACTGTAGATTGTAACAGGAACCTATATTTGTTTGTCCTAGATAGCTTAAGGATCATAACAGTATAAATCTACTTATACTTCATTTTATTGTTTTACTGCTCTTTGAACCATGTCTAACTTATAACCCTGCCACACTCATTGTAAATCACTCGGAAAACATGTAGCTCATGTTACCTTATGGAATGACATAGCACATGAGCTGCTTGCAAGCATATCTCATGAATAATAATGATTATCTTTTTTCATTATCTTACCTAATCTAACCTAATAAATTTCTAATTTTTAGATTTTGGTTATCTTATAACAGCAAATAAAGACTATATGTGAAAAACAAGAAATATAGTACCTACTTATTACTGAGAGTGAATGTTGTCTTTTATACAAAAACATTTTAATTAAACATGAACTAAATAAACAATGTAGCTAATTTATTACACTGGTCTAACTAAGAGTGCACATTGTCATTTACATAAAAACAGTTCAATTAAACATTAACCTAGTAAATAATGTAGCTAATTTGCTACACTGGCCTAACTAAGAGTGCACGTTGTCATTTACATAAAAACAGTTCAATTAAACATTAACCTAGTAAACAATTTGCTACACTGGCCTAACTAAGAGTGCACGTTGTCATTTACATAAAAACAGTTCAATTAAACATTAACCTAGTAAACAATTTGCTACACTGGCCTAACTAAGAGTGCACGTTGTCATTTACATAAAAACAGTTCAATTAAACATTAACCTAGTAAACAATGTAGCTAATTTGCTACACAGGTCTAAGAAATATAGTACTTACCTCTTGTTTTTTTGCTGTCAGTTGCCAATGAATTTAAGCCTACATTTTTTAATACTATTGGTACTAGTACACTAAATAATTTTTATCTATTTATATAATGCAACTAAGAACACAGAATAACAACATGCACAAAGCAAATAATATCCTATAACTATCATAATTTAGCTGGCTTTCTAGCTATGGCATAAAGGTCTTAAAATTATTATTCAAGCCTCTTGATCTGAATACTGCAAGAGAAACTTTCAAACTGAAGAGGAAATACACAATACTCTGTACTGAAAATAAAGTAATATAATCCACCACTTGATAGAATAAACTTTGTCTTTTTACTGCTTATAAATAATGTAGTATCTAATGTCAGAAAGAAGTATTGTCAATTTGTGAAAAAAAAAAGGATATGAAAAGTAGGCTCAGCAAGTGGGTCTGATTTTCTAGTTTATAACTCCATAACAAAAAAGATTGAAAGCTATTAAAATTGGACTTTGCCTTAATAATACCAATATTATAATGAGTGAGTTACAGTAATTCCATATTTCAGAGAGGGGTGGTAAACAAACTAGAGAAGGGAGAAGACTTAGAGAACAAATGACATGATTCTTATACTAGGAATGAGGACTTTATGTATTTCCTTAAAAAATAAGAGCTTAAAACTTATATAATATTAAAATTTGATTTATTAACTACTATTAAGTAGTTTAACTCAATCTCTATGGTTCTTCCTATTGTCAGGGGTCAAAGGGCATGTCATCACGTTTGTAGACTTACATTCAAAATTTTATTGAACTACTATTTTATGAATGTATGTCAATAAGTTTGGTATCAAATTCTACAATATACTTCAAACTTTCACAAGAATAATTAACCATTAAAATATTTTTCATTCTAAAAGAATTAATGCCAAATAGCAGTTATCTTTTTCATTATCTACAACAATTAAAAAACTATGAAAAATAAAAAAAGAAAAATTCTGACTTATTACCTGGGTTATTATAAGATCCTTGTCATTAATTCCATAATTCTGAAGGAAAACTGCCACACCAGAATGAATGTGAAAAGTGGAGGAAAGAGACTCTTTCAAACAGGGACTTTTCACTGAAAATTAAATTTTAAGAAAAATTACTTTTGAAACACTTTTAATACATTAGCTGTGGAATATTTTAATGAATAAAGTCCTTATATTCTAATATAGAAAAAGTCATCCTTTTATTATGTGAAACTGAACTTCATTAGAGTACAGTCACATGTTGACAGCTTATATTTTGATTGCTCATCAGTCAAAGAATCGGGAAGTTCTACATCATTATAAGAACACAGACAATCATACGTTGTCTAGTAATTACACTTTAGATACAAAAAAGCATCTAAGCAGTAACATTTAAAATATCATACTGCATACACAAATAGTGTTTCAGAAAATCTTTTGTATGTTATTGTCCAGCCCAACTGAGGGGTTCTTGTACAAACCATCTCTTGGACAGTTAATAACTTGTGGAAAACAAAAGATAGATCTGAAATGTTATTTTTAAACTTGTGTGATTTTGAATCCAAAATGAACAAATTACAAGGAATATGTAAAAAACAACACTGTCTACATGATTTTTATCACAAATGTTATATTCAGTAGTAGTAGTGTGAGTCCAGTCATAGGTATCAGAACTGAAATACTGCATGACAAGCATGTAAAAGTTTAATTTTTGGCTAATCATGATATGTACTTCATGCAAAAAATTGTGGCAAGATTCCAAGGTTCAGTAGGGGATGTACGCAAGACTCTGAAAGGAATATGTGAAACTAGCACTATTAATAACAGAAGGGCTCAAAGTAGAAAACTGAAACTTATGTGATGTTAATTATCTGAAGCTTTATTTCTTTATGAGATAGATGACAGTCAAGTACAGATCTTGTAAACGACCTTGCTATAAATACAAATCTGAAGTAAGATACACATTAGCATTAAGTACTCTCAATGGATGTGCAACAACAGAAAACCACTGCTTAAAAGAAATACCCAAACCAAAAGGTTGAAATGGGCATTAATCCAAAAACAATGCAATGAACAAAGTTGGAGATGTGCACTCTTCACTGATCAATCTAAGTTTCAAGTGTTTGGCAATAATCAATAGAAGTTGGTTTGACAAGAGAGAGAGAGAAGAATGGTATCATTGTCAAAGAAAAACATTTACAGCGAAGCATGGTAGGGATCAGTACAATTTTAGGGCTGCATCTCAGCCATTGCTATTGACACTTCACACAAATGATGGCACTCTGACTACTGACAAGCATATGCAGATTCTGATCCATCATGCAATTCCTACAGGAACATGACTTATTATATCAACCATTTAATTTTATAATCACTATAAAGTATTCTTAGTAAATGCAGCTAGACCTTCTCATATGAATTATAAATCAATCTTTGCTGATATTATCAGCTCTACATCATGATCTGCATTGCAACATGCTTATCATTTGAAATCACCATTTGTAGCTTTTGCATGGGCTGATTATTTGTAATTACAATGTAACCTAAATAAAATCATCATTCAACCAGATTATATACTTATGTTAAGTAACACATTACTGAGATATTATTATTTTTTGTCAATAATGAGGTATTCTGACAAATTAGATTTTTAATCATATTGTAGTAACTTTTTGCAAGCCTCTCTTTGTTGTATATAATCATTAGTGATTTTCTATATTTTACAGTAAATTTTATTTTCTTCATTCAAAGTAAATAAAATATCTAAACAATGAGTCAAATATGACTATCCTTTGAGACCAACTTCCAAGACCAATTTCAAAAATCAGGACACAAAATAGCATTCATACAAGCTTTATTGACACTGAGATCTTATTTTAATTTTTATCTGGCTAATAGCACACATGCACACTGTGCAACCACACTGACATATTTTAAATAAATTAACTTCCAGTCATATAGTTAAAAAAGTAAAGAACAGTTACAATTTTTTTGCAGGACAAGACAAGAAAAAGAAATGTAATGAGTTTTTTTTTTCAGTAACGTGTCTAACACTGTATATTTATCACAGAGGTCATGGCATTTCAATTGTATTTACATAAAGGTCATGTATATGTGATGAGCAAGCTAAGCAACGAATGGACCAAAGTCATACACTGTTCAAAACAATTCTCCCAGTTACCCATGTTCGAAGTTCAATTAGTGCCAACTCTAGCCAGCTAATAGTATTATATTTGAAATGGATTACTACAAAAATACAAGGAACTGAGGGAAGTACTAATTCCAACAGTGGATGAAAAATATTATGATTTTTTTTCTGCAAGATCACGAAACACTGAGCTTTAAACATCGTCTGTCAAAATGCGCAAGTTGTAATGAGAAAAATATTACTTCTAAACTTTTGGTTTGTAGTTATGAATATACTGGTATGCCTGTTGTTGTAAGCCTTTAGCAATATGGGTTTCTTTTTGTAATAAATCTTTAGCTTTTACTGCATAAAATGTAAGAATTTCAAAACTTGGATTCTGGTAAATGTTAAAGTGTATATTCATAACACATCACAGCTTATTAGCTATTTCACAGTGTGCTAACTTTTATGAAAACATTAGGTTACACAGTTACATTGAATTATTAAAAACCGCATGCCAGGTGCACATATTACTTTAAACAGACTTCATTTACTTTGTTGTTGTTTATAAAACCTGTAAGTGACATTATTGTAAGGATCCATCCTTATAAATAATGTATAATTTGAAGATGGGTACAAAAATATTATATATATATATATATATACTTATGTAACTTTGCATTTAAGGAAATATATCAGATATAACTGGAAATCCAATAATGTAAGAAAATATATTTTTCTTCAAACTGTAAACTTGTTCTAATTCTTTAATAACAACTGGAAATATAAATAACAACATAATGGGTAAACCAAATATTGAAATGACAGTTCACTTCAATTTTAAATATTAATGTCTAAGTATCAAAGTATGAATTTTTTTTGCCATTCTGTTTATTTTAAAACACTGTTTTAACTAAGAATATTTTCTTTTGATCTTACTGTTTAAACTAGAGTCAGAAGCAAACTTACATAATAAAAACAAATATTAAATTGGGCCTATTTTAGTATGGGGTGCATGTATGTATAAATGTGTGTAACACACACAACTAAATCAAAAGGAAATAATGATATTAAATAAACTATAGCTAGAACACTTTTACTTCAGATCTAATTTGAAATTATATTCACAACATTATTAATTGAAAAACCAAGTAAAACAGAAAATCAATTACTGTAAGAATAAACACTGGCATGAAAATGAGAAGTACATTAAAATCCTACAAATCAATTTCCTACATATATATACTTTGATTTTTTAGAGATACATCTTTGTTTTTTACCATACAAAACTTTCAATTTTCTTTCAGGTTTATGTTGTTTATGAATTTATAATTTAAAAATTTTTATTAAGATTGTAGCAATATCTTATACATACATAGATTAGAACAGTGAAAAATAAATAAAATCTTACTTGACATTAGCAATGGTATAATGACAAAAATGCATTTTCATTAAATATGTAATTACCATTGTTTTCGTTCTTTGTTTATTAATGATAGTAGATGAAACTTAATTCATTTAGTAATAAAAAAAACAGCAAACACTGTGCTGCAATCACAGAATAAAAAGCAATGCTTGGCTCACCAAAATTCTGAAGAAGTGAAAGTGTTTTCTGTACAAGGGTAACTTTAGGTTCTTGGTCTAAGAGAATGTCTACTAAAGCAGTAACACATTCAGTTACACTAAGATGATGAGGATTAAGTAACTGCAGTTCTAGTGGGGAACCTGTCAATCCAATCAAAACCTAGAGAAAAGGACACAATTTTTGAGACATATTTTAAATTCATATAACATTAATAATTCTACAGCTACTCAGATTTTAGTGCAATTATAAAGATATTGTACTGCATTACAGTTTCAGAATGTGTGAATTCAATTCAGATCTTTCAACTGAAAGATTATTTTCAGCTGTTAACCCTTACACAACGGGTACCCCTTTAAACACTTTTCTGCACAAGTCACCATGTTACATTCAAAATTTAATTCAACACTTTTGCTATCAAATTATGTGAATTAAATGAACATTTTAGTCTACGTTATAATTCAAAGTTTTATGTTATCTAAGTTTTAAAGCCTTTATTTAAAAAAACTTTTAAAAACCAATTTAAACTTCAGATGTATTATCACATGACCAAAGAGCTAAGAAAATCCTCTACTTTGTCACTATACTTTGTGTAGATGTATGTCTAGACTATAAAATGCTTACTTAACCTTTTGACTCTTACATTTCAAAGTTCTTTGAATGAATGAGTTGAAACAAGTAATAAATTTTGCCAACCCCTGACAGGTGCCATGCCCACCTTCAACAGATTTTTTGGGGGTTTTATAGCTCACATGGAGAGGTTACATTTGCATGTATATAGTCATTAGAAAGAGCTCATTTTACATTGTAATCTAATAACAGATATTTTGAAATTGGTGCGCACTTGTCATCACAAAATACACGTAACTGACTGTTGTATTGTTGACTGCTTCATCGACTATAGCACTTATGGTTGTTTCTTACCTAAATATGTTATAGTTAGAGATACAGTTTAAATAGTATTTATGTCTTACTTCTATATTTTAGTTAATTATGTATTAGTTATGTTTTAAAATGCATAACTGAAGTCTTTAAACATTTTAAAAATATACATCATACCTTGCATCAGTTATCAAGGCTTACAACATTATGAGGTGCATGAAAAGTTTGTCAAAGGGTTGCGCATGTCTGCCAGAGACACTATAATATGCCTCGAGGGCACCATTGACTTATGACGAGATGAAGAATAAATGGTAAAGGACAAGAATGGAAACTAAATTAACTATGTATGAAAAGGAAAAGACCTGAAATTATGAATGTAATGAAAACAATATTTTTAAAGATATTCTGCAAAAAATTATAAGGTATGTATTTTTTTTTATATTTCCTAATTTTAATATTTCATCACATTGTACATTAATGATAATATCTACAATTAGTGATATGGTAGAGAAAATGAAAAATAAAATTTAAACATTTGCCTTAAAAAAACTTTTGATATTAATTTAAGAGGTTCTAGAGGTTATGCAAATGAAATATGAAAACTACATGATGAAGAAAAGTATTTTATACTTAAAAAAAATCACCTTGTATTTGAACTATTTTAGCAATTTGAGTGCAAATAACTACTATTGATAAATAACATTTTTATTAAAAAGATGTAATTAAAACAATGTCATTCTTTGTGTACAAAATGCTTATAAACTTTAACAAAATATTACAAGATTTTGTGAGGAATGCTCAGAGTAACCATATGTATTTTGCATAAATTTCCTTCCACAATCAAGGTGATATGAAATGCAACAGCTTGTACAGAAAGGGTTGATGTTAAGGATGGTTCTTTTCAAAGCTTATTAGCTTTCCAAAACAATTTACAGGTAGAGCTAACTTGTATGGAAGTGTTTGGTATCTCATACAAATATCTTTATATTGAGAAATTACCTTACCATACAAACATAAAAAGATTACTAAAGAACAAATATGCAAAGTATTGGGATAATCATAAAATAAAACAGAAGATTAACACACAAAGTTATTAAGTTTAAACTTTGGTTTTGTCCAGTGCTTGAAGTGGGGGAGGAAGAGATGGGATACCACCCCACTTCTTTTCAGGAGGACCTGAATCCATCCTACTATCTTTTAGTAGACTGAAAACTTCTCAGAAGAGAATGGTTCAATGACGATGAAATAAATATTTGTGGTGGCAAAAGACTCTTAATGTTGTGTATGAGTGAGACAGAAATAAAACAAAGTAGTACAAGGAAGGAGCAAATGAACTCTCTGAATACAGGCTCAGTCAATGTGATGACTGGGTAATAATAAAAGTTCTTCATGGGGTGTACTTGCGAGCAGCTTGTGCATTACATGTTTGCAGAGTGGTTTACAACTTGTGTGACCAGATTATTTGTTAGACACGGTTCAAAGGGCAATATTATAGTATGGAAACTGATGGTTACAAATTTTTCATTATCATACCCAATCTAATTTAATATGTTTCTCATTTTTGCATTTTAGTTACTTTGATAATAATAAATAAAGAACACACATGAAAAACAAGAAACTTCAAAAATTTCACAAACCATCCCATTTCCTCTTTTCCCCACTTCAAGCACTAGTTTAGTCTAATGCATATGTGCATTGAAAACAAAAAACGTGAAATCATTTTCAGAAGGCTTTTGATAAGGTTCTGCATAACAGACTGGTGAGAAAATTACCTCAGTGTGAATGGGAAATGAGTTAGTTAAGTGAATTGAGTGTTGCCAAGGGTAAGAGGGAACAAAAGTTTTTTTTAAGGAGTTCAGTCTAAATGGACTAATATTATAAATGGTGTGCTTCAGGGTTTTGTGCTGAATCAACTCATATTCCTCATTTCCATTAATAACACTGATAAAGACATATTTGGGAAATTGGTTAAGTTTGCTGATAACGTAAAAATTTAGGTCTGACTGGCTGTAAAGAAAATGCTATCAGTGGTCTGTTGGACAAACACAGGTTAGTTATCATTTAATTATGATAAGAGTAAGGTTATGTATGTGGGGTTACGTAATAAATATCAATTACACATAAAATTTGATGAAAGCCCTCTTTATCATGTGGATGCAGTAAAGGATTTTGGTGTATCAGTTAATACAGCTTTTAAGCCTTCAAGACAGTCTTAAAGCTAATAAGATTTTGAGTTTTGTATACATATATAAAGGAATATAGATTACAAGTCTAAGGCCATGGTTTTATTGTATAAGTCACTAGTTAGACCTATAGCCGGGCAATTTGATTATCTATAAACATTGATTAGTGTCATGTACAATAACCAATTAATCAAATTAAATTAATATGATGAAAATAATCAACTACCTGAAATTAGTTTCTGATTATTACTGTTTTTGACTATTGAAATATTAATGTTATGATTACTTACTATTATATTTGAATAATTCAGGGTTGTTCAGCTTAACTGATTAGTGACACGGCTCATGAAAATAATAAACATTAGTGCTTCCAATTAATAATACTTTTCATTATTCCATCTATCAAAGTCTCATGTGAGAATAATCAATTAATGAGCCCAATGATTAACCAATTAGTAAATTTCATTAATTGTCCAGCTCTAGTTATACCTCATATGGAGTAGTATGTGTGCAAAGTTTTTATCTCCTTATCTTTGATAAAAGAATGGTCAATAAACAAATTGCTTAAATATGCTGATAATATTAAGGTCTTCGGTGTTGTTGTCCAATACTTGGAATAGAAAGGTTGTCATATAATGGCAAGATAAAACCTCTTCTATTGTGTTCTCTTGAAAAGAACAAAAAAGTTAGATGGGATCTGAATGAGGTGTAAGGGAATTGATAGTGTTGATGCATCATCTATTTCTATTTAAAGGTGAGAGTGGAAGGACAAATATAAATTTGGCAGTGTAAGTAGCTATCTTTAGCTTAGACAGTTTTACTTTTCTAACAGGGTGGTTGGTCTTAGGAATGGGTTGCCTTCAGATATTGTGAATGCAGTAAAGTTAAAAATGTTTAATGAAGAGCTCAATAAATATTTAAGTAACCAGGAATGGATTTAAGTTGTTATTGTTTTTTTGACGTGGATGGGACAGCCTCAATGGATCAAAGACCCCTTGTTGTTTCTTAAATGTTAGGTTATGAAAGTTGTTGGAGTGTTCAAAGGAGGGGTAATGGGATGAATCCAGGAATAGATGGGTTAACACAAGAGAATAAGTTGAAATCTCATTTTCTTTAAAAACAAAACAAAAAAGGGTCAGGGTGATCATCTCTTGCTGAAACATTTCAAAATTATTAAGGGAATTGATAAAAGACTGATACATCATCTTTTTTCATGTTAAATTTTGAAAGCAGCAAAACAAGGGGTCATAAATTTAAGATATATAGAGGTAAAACATTTCCACGGGGCAGCTCTATTTCTGTAACAGAATGGAAATCTGTGGAACAAATTGCCACTGAAAGTGGTAGAAGCTACAACTATACAAGTTTCAAAAAAAGGGTTATTAAACATTCAATAGAAGTTGGGGGTCAGAACATCCTAGTTGGACCAGAAAACCCCTTGATGTCTCAAGTGACAAAATACCAGTGAAAAATACTGCTTATATCTGAAAAATATTATACAAGACAAATTAACCACAAAATGCTACTATAAGGGAAAATTATAATGAATAATTGATTTCTAAAATTTAAAAAAATTTACTTACATCTAAATGGCGTTGCAGCTGCAGGTGGTTCTGTTCAGACTTATTTCCAAAAAATTGATGGGATGTATGTACAAATGTTTTTATATAGTCTGTGATGTCCATTTCTAGAAAAAAAAAAATTAACCACATGTAAATGTAAGATTGAAAGTTTTCAAATCGTTATGTTATTTCTGATTAAAGCCCTCTACTAAGTGATAAGTTCAGTGAAAAGAATATATACAGTTGTTGGTTCTGTTGAAAGGAATTTTCAATTCAAGAATACTATTGTAAAACCTTGTACAAACTTATGAAGCCTAATTTGGCATGTCATATGCAATTATGGATCCCTTGGCTACAGGAAGTATGTACCATGTTGAAGGGAATGCTAAGATGGGATACTAGTATGGTAATTGGAGCTGTTAAAAAGTGTCTAAAGAGCAAATGCTAGAGGGGTGCTTGAGCTCAATCACTTGTTGTGTGCGAGGTCGTGTTCAAATCGAAGACAAGGAAACACAAAAATTCAAATTGGATTACCACATTAGAATGTTTTATGATGAGTTAATTCTCACAGGCTTCTTACAGTTCGAAATACAAACTTAATATTAGGAGTAACAAATTTAAGCTTTGTAAGCCAACATGTAAATAGAGATTTGTTCTTTTGCCAATTTTTTAGCATTAACATATGAAATGGTTTGCCTTATGATGCAGTTTGTACTATTATCTCTTTAGTTAGGTATATAGGTATGAGAAGCTATATTTAAGCTAGTTTAGAAACTAAACAGAGGAAAATATTTTTCATATTATTATAGTTTTTTTTTCTTGGCTGGGAGTAACCTGAATAAGCTGAATGGCCTTTTGCTACCTTATTTTTATTTTAGTACTTATCAAAGATAACTGACAAAATATTTTTATTCAGAGCTTTCTGCAACTTTTTTAGATTGCTTTTCCAGTTAAGCTACTGAAAATTAAAAATAACTTGTTCAGACCATTAACAGAAAGTCACATGCTACTTTATTATCAGGTTAATATCCACAGGAAAATATGGTAGGAACTTCACATTTTCTGGTCCAAATAAATTTCAAAACCACAGAGTTGTCCAGTATCATTTTACAATAAATCAATCCCTAATAAACCATATTTCTCAAAATAAATCAGTTCTAAAGTTTCACTACGAGATAAGTGTAACATTTTCAAAACAAAATTATTTTTCCACAATCTTATGGACAAGTTCAATGTAAATAACTTGCTGTCCACAATATAGTTAGAAAAACAATAACGCTTTATGAAAATGATCTACTTATTAATTGTTAAGCAATTGAAAAAACTATTACAACTAACATTTTTTTAATTAATTAGTTAACCACAGACCACATTATCAATTTGCTTTGTAGAAGTTAAACAAGAACATATGAATTTGTCAACAAGTATTTAATGCTAATTGGTTACTCAGATCACACACTTTTTATTTCAGCTACATTACCAGCTGATGTAAAGTGACATACACAGAGAAATACATACTTGAGGGCACACTACAAAACAATGCCTTTAAAGTTTTACTTTTCAGTATAAATACTCAATGTTCACTACACACTATAACTAATTTAAAACATTTCAATTCAAATAAAAGTTAACCTTTTTCTTACACTGAAAATGTATTTCCAATAGATGCCTCCCTCCATTGCTAAAAAAATTTCATGATGTATGTATCATGTGATTACTCTCCACCAATAGTATTGCACCACCTACACTGGTGCAGCTAGCCCTCTCTGCTATTTCCACTCAATCCTCACTTTCAAGAATTGGCAGGTTCTAAAAGAACACCAGCAGTGAGGAGGAAGGGTTGGTGAAGAGGTAAGTACCTATCAGAAATACATGTTTAGTGTAGGAAAAATAGTAACTTCCCATACAGTCTTACCTCCACTCACACAAAGCTAGAATCACACATTGCAAAGGTAAAGGTGCCAGTGTAGGAGTACAAAATTGAAGCCAAGTGGAAAGCAACCACCCAGAATGAATGGGTGTGCTCTAAGATGAAAATGAAGCACACTTGTGGGTTACTGCACTACTTCTGGAACAGGTATGCTCTTCGTACGTAATTAATCTGATATGGTGGAAAAAAAAAAAGGATGTGTAGATGTGTAATGTGACTTGAGAGGTACAATCCACAGTAAAATATAAACAGAATTAACTATGTACATTCACAACCTCAACCAGACAGACGAGGTTCCATAATTCATCCTCGGTATTAGGAGGTTGAGGGGGGAAAAAAAAAAGTACATCAACACAATGGCTAGGGTATGTGGAGCGTGTTATATCAACCCCAACCATAAGTAAACAGTGTGTTATATGTCAAGCAACCAGAATTACAAAGAAGAAGTGAGTTTTTGGCCAAACCAGACAAACTCCCAAAACACTGTAGGAGCAAGATGTACAACAAACCGGACCCTGCGTTAAAGGGGAGGGGGAGTAAATGGGGGGGGGAGTAAATGCGGTGGGGAGTCTAGAAAAACGTCACACCAGAGAAGGTGCAACGTGTCTCCGCAATTTCTTATTTTTAAAAGCAGACTGACCCTGATTTATTCAATCAAAGGGTCGGCAGAAATCCCCTTCTGCTTTACTCATGAAGTTCATGAGTGATGGTCCACCACTAAGTGAAAATTACTGATATCTAGAAACATATATATATATATAGCACTGGTTATGCCACCAATGGTCTTACAGAAACACTCCATCTATACAGTGAGAATTATAATGCAATCAGCAAATAGTGCAGGTTTGAGGAAAAGCATACTTGACCAGACAACATCCACCATGGAGTGGAATCCTATTATCAGTAGTTAAAACTAGGGTTGCTGAAAATAAAAACAGAAATAAAAGGAAGCGATAAGACTTGCCTCAGTCAAAGGGGAATGGATGTGTGTAGAATTACCAAGGGAGGAAGATGATATCCACCAGAGAAAGATAAAGCAAGATTGTGCAGATAATGATCGATAAAGGCACTGGGAGTAGTCCACATTCCAGCCTGGATGATCTCCTTCAAAGGATGGCAACAACAAGAAGTGAAAGATATGGTGATGTGATAAATATTATGAGAAGAAATGTTGTGGAGACAGCGACTTTCCATGGATAAGTCATAATATGCCAGCCTAATAAGTTGATGAACCCAACCAATTAATATGACAAAGAATAGATCATAGGAAATGGAAGGATTCCAGGGAATTAAAGTTGGGAACCTAAACCCAGAAAGGAGCAAACGAGACAACGAAGCTGATCAGGATCAGAATTGGACTACCAGTGGGAGATGGAAGTTAAGGAAATGGATGTGAAAGCCAAACAGTCTTCATGTGTGGCATTGGTCTGAGGGAGGAAGGACCGGTTGGGATATAATATGACCTAAGAGGAATGGCAGAGGAAGTGGGTGACATTAAAGGCAGAAATATCTGATTGATGACATCTGCAAGCAAGGAGGAGAAGGAAATTGGTCTGGAGGGAGAAAAGGTAGATAGAACATGAAGACAAAGGTTCAAAGGGAGGATGGAAAAAGCATAAAGGATCACACCGAGATTCCAAACAGGCAATTCAGGGAATGTGGAGGACACAAAGGGAGCAAAAAATGGTGGGAAATGACAGGGGAAGACAAGGCTGGCTGGTAGCTAGACATGGTCGAAGTGTACAGCTGTGTGACAAACAACCAGATGAAGAATACAGAAAGATAAGGAACAAAAGGGTGGGAAGAAAAAACCATGTTGAACAGATCAAAGGTGGAAGGTATATTGTTGCCTATGGTGAATGGATATGGAAAAAAGGCATCCTAAGAATGGGAAAGAAACAAATATGTTAGCAATGTAACAAAGAAAAAAAATGCAAGTCTTACACTGAAAAAAATTTGGATGATAAGGCACATAGTTAACAATTTCCAAAAAAAAGTTATTAAGATAGAACAATGAAATATATATTATTAGAAGTACTGATATGTAATGTACAGACTATCTAAACATACCTAGTAAACAAAGTACTTATCAATATCAAACAGACAAACCATCAAAACTTACGTAGTCCACAAAGTATATAATAATAACGAATGTGCAAACCAATGAAAATTACCTAGAAAACACATTAATAATCAATATCTAACTTACAATTCCTCTAAATTAACCTAGGTGACAAAGGAAACATAATTAAGTCCTACACTGATGAAAATAAGAATGATAGAGCACACAGTTAACAATGACAAAAAAAATTACTCAAATAGAACAACAAATTAGATGTTACTAGTAGTAATGATATGTAACTTACAAACAATCTAAACATACCAAGCAAAAGTACTTATTAATTACAATCTACCAAACCCATGAAATTTGCTGAGTCTACAAAGTACTTAATATTAATGATCATGCAAAATGATTACATTTACCTTAACAAAAAGAAAGTAATAATCAATATCTAACTTACAATTCATCTAAAGTAACTTAGATGACAAAGGACACGTATAACTTATCAAAGTCGGAGCACCGATGACATGAAATATGTAATTCTCTCATGCGTGAATAAGGGCAAAGTCACACAACGGGCATCTGAGCCATGCCTACCAAGGGTATATCAAATTGGTGTGAAGTGTACTTGTTGACTACTTATCACAGATCCCCTGGAAGATCTGGAAGCAATAGGAAGAAAGGAGGAGGAGAACAATTCTCCACCAAAGTGAATGACATGGCAACACGGCAACTGGTGGAAAGCTGGAAAACTCCTAAAGAGGTGTAGATTGTGACCATCCAAAATGAGAAGGTGCTGGAAAAAGAGAGTCCAAATTGTCTTCTCATTGATTGTATTCTCTCTCAGAAACTGTCATATTGAAAAGAAATCACCAGCTGAACACATGAATCTAGCTTCCTGCTAATTAAGGCCTGTACCTCCTCTGCAGATAAAGTCAAACCCAATTCCTAGGAAGTCGGACCCGTAGCATTTTTGACTGTGACAGGAATTTCCATAGTCAATGCCTTGATTGCAAATTCATACTAGGATCTCTTATAATTCGGTAACAACAAATAAATGCAAAAAAATTGTTTAAACAAAAGAAAGCAAACACAGTAAAATAAAACCATTGAAAAATTAATTTGAAATGTGACTAATGTTTACAAATAGTAGCCACATGTGAAAAACACATATCTAAACAATGATGTACCAAACGAGAAAGTGAGAATTGAGTGGGAAAAGCTAAGGATCTTGCTACACCAATATAGGTGGTGCAATACTATTGGTGGAGAGTAGTCACATGATATCTACATGTTCAGAAATAGTACAAAATTGATGGGGTATATAGACTGGTGTGCTGATTGTAAAAAGATTTAGCAATGCTTTGATGGCAGAAGATCTAGATAGCTTTACGTGAGAATGGAGGTAAGGCCATATTGGAATGTATTAATTTCTTCCCTTTCAATTTCCCTTTAAAAGATACACTGTATTTATTAAAGCATCACAGACATGCAACATTTAATTCCTCTGCATAAGACAGAGCAGGGATGATTAATCACAGGATATTCATATCCATATTCATTCAAGTCTAAAATACAATATTACTGTATGTTTGCAAGTTACAGTTTGGCTGAATAATATTCTTGTCTATTAGTTCTAATTGTAAATCTTAGTTTTTGGATAGAAAATCTTGAAAAAACTTATTAACATAACACATGTTCAACAAGGAACCATTTTGTCCTTCTAGACCGTACATTCACATACAGTGTTGAGAAAAAGTAAAAATTTAAACCAACCTTTTACTTTTCAGGGAATTATCAATTCTTCCTTTAGCTCTTGCAAAGTCCTGACGTCCACTACTGATGATGACAATTCATTCCATAAGTCAATCACCCTGTTAGAAACATAAAACTTTCTTAAGTAGAGTCTAGTTTGTCTTTACAAATATTAAACATGTGTTCACTCTCCTATTATATTCAGAATACAGCAGAAAGAAATCAGAGCTCTTTATACTACTGATCCCCTGCTATCTTATAAAAAACAAATTTTTCTTAGCTATAACAGGTTAGAAGCTCTTAACTTATTTAAACCCTTTCTCATTCTCAATATCCTTTCTTAGAAAAGAAAACCAAAACTAAAATTGAGGCCTAACTAGTGACTTTTTAAAGAGATAATTACTTATTTTTACTTGATATAAGTATGGTAAGAAACACTCTTAAATTCTGTTAGCTTTCCTACCAGTCTTGGTGGCTTAAGTGACTTACACACCACTATGCCAAGGTTCTTTCCTTTAGTCATGCTACTGGCTCAGTTCCCATCTATATATAGTGTAATCCAAGTTATGATAACCCAAATACATTACCTTGCACTTATATAATTAAAAGTCAATAATTAGATATTTCTACAACTTACCAATCTATCAGTTATTCTTTAGTAATTCAATCTCCTCAATACAGCTAGAAATACCCAAGAGTTTAAATGCCATCAACAAATTTTACTAATTTACCAATTATGCCACTATCAATATCATTAATGTACATAAGAAAATGCAAAGGCTTCAGCACTGATTCCTGAGGCATACCACTAGCAACAAGAGCCCAATCAAATGGACTCTATTGATGATAACCTTTTGCTATCTCCTGACCAACCATCTTACGATCCTATCAACTGGTTTTTTACCATCTCCAACTGATGTCATTTTCTTAGCTAATCTTTTGCATGGCAGCTTATAAAAAGCTTTGTGAAAATCTAATTACACAAAATTTACACTATTCCATCAACCTGGTTAGAGCTGGGTGATTAAATCGTTTCATTGATAACTTATGAGTATCAATTGCATTGATTAATGTCTGAAAATAATCAACTAATGTTCCCAATTATTACTGTTTTTTATTATTCCAACCATTCACTAATTAAAATACTGCCATTATGATTTTTTATAAATAATTTTGATTAATTAAAGTCTGATCAACTTAATCAATTAGTTTCACAATTCACAAAAATAATAAATTAATCAAAATTAGGGTTTCCAAAAATTACTATTTTCAATTTCCAACTATCCAAGTAATCAAAATATTGCTATTATGTTGGTTGTTAAGCACAAAGCTACACAATAGGCTATCTGTGCTCTGTCCACCACAAGTATTGAAACCACATTTTTAGCATTACAAGTTTCATTTTTTTCAATCTCATTGGAAAACAATGGTTAGGTGATTTTTTCCATTTTATTTAGCCATCTCATGAGAATAACGAATTACTTGAGTGTAACTAATTAATGAGCCCAACAATTAATTGATTAGCAACATCCATTAACTGACCAGTTTTAGTCCAGATAGCAAGCAAGATCTTTGATAAAAGTTGCTCCAGACTGCTCGATTCCTCCATATCCTAACCATTACATTTCAGATTGACGATGTAGACTACTACATGCACAGGGCAAAGCAAATTCCCAATGATACAAAAATTTTTGTCATCAAGCACTGTTCTTCAACTGCTGCAAAATGCTCTCATAGTACTGCCTCAAGTTCTCCAAGAAATGGGTAGCTTCATATAGCCTGATTTGACTTGTTACCTTCAAGTTATGTACGAGCATGCAAGATCCTGATGCTTTGAAAGCCCACACAGACACCTGTTGTGGACATTTCTTACATTTTGTTAATTTCTTCATTAGAATAATATTGTTGCCATAACTATTCATTCCAACATGTGCATACTATAATACGTATATATTTATACACATTTCTATGTTCTTCTATACAATTCACAATCATTCACATTGCTTACTGGAATATCCTAATTAATTCTTAACACTGTGGGTGAATTGATTAGAATATTCTAGCAAGAAATGTGGATTTTCCAGAACTTTCTTCAACATGCTCCCTTTCTGTATAAGCCATCAATCACACTTCACAGGTACATATGACACATTTGTCTCATGTTTAAACAGTAGCTGTGCTATCCTCTACATTTTCTTTAAACATGTACCTACTAGAAATCTGCATTTCCAACCATAATACCCACTTTTTTACATATTGTATCACAACAGTTGTTTTCCGATATAACATTATTTCAAATGACTAATAAAATTATACAATAAACTTTTCTTAAGGAAGCACATTATGCTAATATAATAATAAGTAAGCAAACAATGACTTATAAGCATAAAGAAAAGTTTTATTGATGGTGGAATATATGCATGTTCTGTCAAAACCTATATCATGTATGTTCACCATCAATAAAAGTTTTCCTTACGTTTATAAATGTGGAGGGTTTAACGAAACAGTACCTTAATTACTTTTTACAAGTCCTTCATAAATCATAAGCTTATTAAATGATGCTTTGACAATAAGATATACTATATTACTTTAAACTTTTGACATTCTGTTTGAGCTTTGAAGTGTGATAAGCATATGGATGTGAAGGGAAGGGCCACATGTATACTTAGCTTAGACTGATTATCACTGATGTCTTTGGTAGTTTGTTATACACGGAAATAGAACTTCAATGAAGTGACTGAATCTGCTTGATAGACCAAATAGCAAGTTCTGTGGTCTTGTTTGTTCTTCATAAGACTAAACTGTAATTTGGTCACATGATAAAGTGTTAATTATCAAACTATTAGTATTACTAGTCACTAGTACTCAACAGTAAGCTTATCATTTTGGAATTATTAACTATTCATTAGGACATTACAAAATGTGATAAAACAACAAATAGCGAAATAGACCTAACTTGGTAAACTGTCAGTGCTAGACTTCACTTCCACTTTAAACTAAACTACAGTGTCCACTTTTTTTCAGAATTAAGTTATACTTAGCCTAAAGCTGATGGTACAAAATTAATTTGTAGTATCGCTGTATCAATATCAGGAAACTCTTTAAAATCTAGTTTAAAAAGTGAAGCACTGGAGAGTACACTATGATTAGTACGAATATGATTTAAGTCTTAAGTTATACTGTTCTAATTTAATAATATTAAAAATAAATTATCATTCATATTTTATTTTCACATTCATTATCAATCACGGTTCTACTTCTAGTCTAATCTAGTTCTGCCTGAGTACCTCAATTTTTCCGCAGGCTAAATTCACAAACAAAGTGCAATAACTTATTGTAAGCTGTTTAAATTGACTTCAATGCGTTAATATTTTTCATTGACCCTACCATAAAAGTTTCAAACTAATAATAAATATTATTATTATCACTAAGTTTCAGGGCTTTTCGTTGTACAGTTCAAATTAACCTCCATTAAAACTTCAACGGACGTTTTACTCCCTCTAGTGATACTACTTTTTCAAAAATAAAATAAATAAGTTTGTGTGGCGTGTTTTATAATTAAAAAGAAAACGAAAAATTCGCAGAAATTAAAAAACATATACACATATTCTCGCTAAATAGTTTATTACACATTTGTTGCTCTCACGTTTCTGCATTCATGCTATAGTTTTACAATATACCCCAATCTAGATTCTAACACGATATATATTAGTTTAAAAAGATGTTAGAATTTTGGTTTGTTTGTTTTAACACAAATCTATTCCCTTAACTTAGAAGTTACTATACAACTGAGCTTCTTGAGTATCAAAATAATTGATTATTTGAACATGAATAAATAGTCTTATATCTGAGTGAATGAAATACTCACAATTATTTGTTTCTTCTTTGGAATGTAAGATCACTGTGCAAACATAAAGCAGAGTTTAGATCAGGGAATGTGTAAGATTTTGCAATACTGTCCATGGCCAAAAGCTGCGGTTATCTATATAAATTTGGAGGATATGCGTTATTAAAATAACATCAATTAAGTTAATAAATGTATACTTGTTACCTCGAATTCAGATTACTTGTGCTTCTTACAGTTTTTCTAAATATTTTGGTAACAATTGGTATTGTTATGTATCTGCTTGTTTGATAATTTCCGGTAAAATCTTTCCGAGGAACTTCAGC